ATAATTCATGCATTAAACTATGCATTAAAAATAATTAATAAAAATATTTTTTAAAAATATCATTATAAATATTATATATAAAAAATAATTAATAAAAATAATTTAATAAAAATATTACTATAAAAATATTTATTATAAAATTATCATATTTAAAAGCTTATCAAGTAAGAGCTATACACTTAGTTTTAAATAAAAAAAGATAAGAAATATCAATATAATTCCCTTAGACAATTTAATTTCCTGAAACTATTATTTGAAACTGATTTTATATAAAGAACTATGTCTGATGTCTAGGACATCAACTTTTTATATTATTCTCCAATGATTTCTCCAATAACGCGCGAATAGCGCTAATTTTCTTTTGCTTTATAGCTGACAATCAATTATTTAACATCAACTCAAAGTTCAATACTCAATATAATATACATAGAATATATAAAGATTCTATATATAATAGAATCTTGACTAATTATTTTAAGTGATGGTTCCCACCGTGTTAAAGACACGCCTTCATTACCAACTGCTTAATCGAATCTTTGTTTAAATAGCTTAGTTTTATTCTGTCCTTGTTATTTAGTAAACTTTTTAAGTCGTTAATATTATCTTTCGCTAACTCCTCGATACTATTGAAGAGTAGTTTATCTAGCTCGTCTGTTCTCTTCTTCCAAAGAGTGCACGTATAGAAAAAAAATTTTTTTTGTCTGGCTGATTATAGCTCTTTAATAAATGTTATGTGAGATTTTCATTTTGGATTCTATTCTTTGATTTCACTAAAAGGGCACAAGACTGTAGTAACTGCTATCATTTTAGAGTCATTCCTTCCATTCTTGCTTATCAGCAAATATAAGAAAATATTAGCTTAAGAATATAATATTCTTGCTAATAATAAAACTCTGCCGTCTACAGTCTGGTATTTGAAGCTATTTTATTTTAACATCACTTTAAGCCAAGTTCAGTAGATTAAGGACCAGTTCTGCAAGAATTCCTCACTAGAGAAATCCTATTTTTGTCAGCTTAAGAGTTGTTTCTTTTCATTCAGTATGCCGTTGTCGTAGGACCCAAATCAGGAAACATTTAATAATATTCTTACTACATTCTCATAATATTCATCACTTGAAAATATGTGCTTATGTACTATATAAATCATTGTAATTAAGAAATCTATTAATATAATCTTGAACACAATATTTATTAGAAGTTACGAAGTTACTAGGTTATACCTGCCCTACTTCAAGTTTTAATTGTTTTTTTCTTTGACAAATGAAAACTTCTATATTAACTTTGGAGTTCAGTGGAATTTGTTCCCCACTATCTTAATTCATCTGTTTTTCTCTTTAATTATTGTCCATGGTTTCTGAATCAGATGGATTTAGTTTTCTAAGTACTAAGTTTATTTACTCCCTAACTATTCTCTGGTTACTAAAATAAGAATCTCAGCACCATAACCCTCAGGGTGAATAATTAGAATATTCATTATTTATTTCTAAGAGGTGGTCATAAACTCAATTTTCGAAGTACTAAGTCTGCTCATCCCTCAACTATACCCTGATAACTGAAATACGATTCTCAGCACCATTATCCTTACAGTCAATAGCTAGAATCTTCATTATACATTCCTAAGAGTTGTTTTTAGTGGGTTAATTTTACAATTTGTTTTCATCTAGTCTGTCCCATTAAATCAACTTTCCAGATTGTGGTATGGAGAACTAGCATCAGTGTCTGTTTGTGATGGTGGCTTATTAAACAATATAAGCTGCTAAATAAATCCCAGTTGGTAAATAACATTTCGAGTTTATTGATTACTAAATTTATAAAAAAAATATTTTAAACTACAATTTTGAAATTCTGAAATTGAGAAGCAGAAAAATGTTGGTGGTGAAATTTTTTTAAAGTTGCACACCAAAAACGTAACCACATTTCGGTTCAGCCGCAGAATCGTAACTCCAATGTTTTTCACATCTTGCAGAATACTTTGTTTTACCCAAGTTTACCTATCTCAATACCATTTATGGGCCCAACTACATTTAGTATTAATTACCAAGCAAGTATCAAATCGCCTTAATTGCAAAGTTGTGGCCTCAAGAGTTGCACTCACTCAAATTTACTGTAAATGACGTTTTGTGGTTGAAATTTCGCAGACAAACTTCAGCGTCAGACGTGCATTGAAGTATTGAATACTTATAAAATATGGATGTACTACCAATTGAGGCACCTATTGCAGCATTGAGAGATTATGAAAATATTATTAAGTTGAATTAGCGCAAGTAACTAAAAGCAGAATTTGTGGTATTTGCCGAAAGAGCAATGGTTGAACGGCATGAGTTATACTAAACTTATGTAGAAATAATTCTAATAAAATGTAATTGTAAATATATAAAGTAAGATTTGTAAATAGAACTCCTACTAACTGTAATATAGCTGCGTTAATATATATAAACTAAAATTAGTAGTAGGCATGCTTAGTTGCGAAATACCATACATACTCGTACACATAAACTAAATACACTTTCATTAACTCTAAGCATCATTTAATACAACACATATTTTTAGTTGTAAATTAATTACAGTTATTTATTTTTATTTATAAATAAATTAGATAATATTTCATTAATATGATTATTAATAAAATATATTTCACACTTTTTAAATAATAGGATTCTCAAGTTGAGGCAGAAATTGCTGTTACTCCGAAGAACATGCGTAAACGCAAGACCACCCATAGTGACCCCACGCATGGCAGTTTCTTCTTACGAGTTGGTGCCATCGGTAAGCATCCCGAAAACTTTTAACTCACTTATTTCACAATAAACTTATTCTCTTTTCTAGCATTTGGTTTGGGAGCAATGATTTATATTGGCTTGGAATTCGGTTCATTCTTCGAGATTCCTTTCGATTCACCCTGCCATCATATCTTGATTGGAGTCAATCCCTTACTCCAAATGATCTTCACCTTTATGCAGATGTACTTCATATTCATGAATGCGAGAGTAAGTATATTGATTCGAATTTGAATTTTAGACTCTATTCGTTTGAGTTAATTTATTTAAGATTAGTTTTAAGCTTAAGTTTTTATATTGAAATGTCGAAAACAAAAGGTTTACAAAAGCCATTTGGGTGTAAGTTGGTATTGCTAAGCTCTATTGGCACTCTAATTGGCAAATCATTGCATTTTTGTCATTTTTATAATTTTTATTATTATTTTTGTTTATATTTTACTTATTTGTTTTATTTTTCATATGATCCATTAAAAGTCCTAAAAGAAAAGTTATAACACAATAAAATAGGAAAGTAGAGCTAAAGCCAGAAATGAAATAAAAACAATTTATTTAGACTAGAGAAACGATAAAAAACAGTAATAAAACATCAGGTGAGGGTTTGTGGAATAGATCCTTTTGGAAATACTACAGAAACTTTTAATTACGAAAAAATAAATGATAAAAGAATTAGTTTTTTCAGGGAATGTATTTATATAAGGACCTTAAAAACAGGACCGGTAATAATACTACTTTTTAGATGCATATATATGAATGTGTATATAAACTGCTGTTAACTCTTATTACAAAATATAGTAAATAATTTAGTGAATTCTAAGAACACTGCTAAACAACATTTCCTAAACTAAGCCCTCTTCCTCCTGGCACAATCCGACGCTACTGTTAAAAACACCACTATTTTGGAAAAAATCTTTATAAGAATTTTTAAGAAAATGCAACTTCAACAATATAACCTAGATTTATTTTCTTTAATAAGTTTTGTAATGAAGTAACATTCTCCCTTGTATTTCAATTTTGTTCTGGATAAATAAAAACAAATGACAGAATCGAATTCAAAAATATTTTCGGACGTATATATTACTGTTAAAAGATTTTTAGTCCCATCTCAAAGTACTCAAGACATGCCTTTTATATAACAAAACTTTGTATTCTATTCAACTAGAGTATAGGCTTAAAAAAACATTTGCAGTATGTTATCTATACCAATTGACTTCAAATCTGTAAAAAATGTCTGTTCATCTCTCCTAGATTATCACAGATATATTAAATCCATCAGATCCTTTGAGAAGCAAAAGGGTCATAATTAAAACTTCCATTTCGTTCTGTTAGATGCAATTGTCCCCAGGTTTAGACAGTTTTAACAATTTCGAGATCAAGTTGCTTGTGCCATACATGCGATTATCACAGATAGATATCTCAAAAACTATTGGCACATAGCACCTGTACTTATTTTACAAAACCGTTCATTTCAGTTCTTAAAACTGTAAAACCAGGTTACGAATTCCAAATTATGAATTTTACAATTTGCTCTAAAAAAGAAAGAAGATAATACTACCGCAAGCTTCCGTCTGTTTGCATAATGAAACTTTAAGTATTATATCACCATCCTCATATTCTTAGATTTTCTAAAATTGTTGAACAATAGCCGCTCCTTCTTGTGGATTTTTTGCTTCATCTTTTTAGTGACTGAAAGCTACTTTTCTTATCCACGTACGTGGTCGAACTCTTTCTTGATTCTCCTGTAATTTGCATGTGACAATTTTACTTGTCTACACACCTTTATCTAGCTCCAACATACTTGTAATTTGATCAGTCCCTTCCATACAGTTCTTGTATTAGGAATTTATTGATTATATCTCCGTTTATCACTTAATTTAGCTTAGTATTATACTTTATCCTGTTCTCTTCTTTTCTTCCAAAGGACCAACAATTTTGAGCATGATTTTCCTGAAAAATATACACACGACTATTTGTAGGGTTTAATAGAACTTCTTACTGAATCGTTAAGGGTTAGCATTAGCATTTATTACTATCATTAAGAATCAAGGTTATAATTTTTCTTTTGGGATTTATCATTTTTCATCATCAATTTTTATTTTTCTCATTTTTAAACCTTTCTCTATATATTTATGCACATCACATATAATCATAGAAAATAAAATAAAAACGAAAAACCGAAATTTTGCAAGTAGTTTTTAATTAAATTTTATGTACATAATCCCTTCTTTATGCAGACTAGGCCACCATTTCAGGTACGAAACTTAATCATTTTGTAATCATTTCATCCTATTTTTAAGCAAATTTCTTTAGTTCATCCTAATGGCTTTAAAAATAATTTTAAATGAAAGTGTTTTTGCATAAACGAAAATTATTTACATTTTGTTGAGAGAAGCAGATATTTCCAATTATAAAATTAAATTATTGCAATCTTAAACCTGAACATAGTTTGGGAATCTCTGCTCTAAGATCAACGTTCAACTGTAGTTGCGTCAACATTTTTGGTTTTCTGTTCTTTTCGTTGCAGCTCAATATCCACCGATTTAAGGTTATCGCTCGTTTTGGTCTTATGCATGTGGTAGCCACCAATATCTGCGTTTGGATACGCACTTTAGTTAAGGAATCATTGCTTGAAATCACTATTTATCATCAACGTCGTGGTCCCGAACCAGAAGACTCACCAATTTCGCAGTCAATACGTCAACATGCTTTACGACATGCTGGCACAGTTTTGCGTACTCACGCTGGACCCAATGAGGAATTTGAAGTATTGGATGGTGAAGATTTATTGCCAGCAAATACTTATAAAACCGATAATGTTCTATCAAAATTGGTACGCAAAACTGTTGATGGCATATCGAAGTCATTGGGTATGGGCTCAAATGATGATGAATTAACAACCGCTTTATTAACAAGCACCACCACAACAACTCGCATTCCCTACACTACGCCTGGATATCAATGGCATAGTACTACTATGGCACGCAAGTTGAAGAAGTTTATCAGCAGCACTACTGCAGCTACCACCACAAGTTTGGGTACTACAGCCTCCACCACAACAACAACTACGACCACTGAATCGCCCTTCAATAGTTTCCACCGCACATTTTCAACTGCCGCTGCTACTGCTGCTGATGAGTTGTCTGCTTCAACTGGTAATAATGCTGGATACACAACAGCTACTGAAACCACCGCTGCTAGCACTTTATCACCAACAAGTATCACTGCTGGTATAGCTTCATTTTTCAATAACTTGGTATCATCAACACCTAGCACCACAACTACCACTTTCACACCCTCCACAACCACCGAAAATACTGTTAATATTATGAATAATCTTTTCGGACCAGGTATGGAGAATAGCTTCCAGACTTACTCCGGTATTTCACATCCAGAATCGAATGGTATTGTTTCATTTGAAAATCTTGAAAGTTTGGATAATATTTACCCAGCGGCTTTATCATCAAATATTGCTACACTTAATGCTACTGCCTGTGGACGTGTGGATATAATGGGTACTATCGTCTACGATTCCGCACCGTATTTGTATCCATTTATAATTGAGTATTCACTTATTGGCGCTGTTGTCTTGTATGTTATGTGGAAGCATATTGGTCGCTATCCTGGTCGTTTGAATGACGAAGATTTAGAACATCGTTTGGAAGTTATGTTATCACGTCGTGCTGTTGCTATGGCTCAACAGGCACGCTCAGGACGTGTGGACTGTGTTGGTTCTTCGAAGGGTTTGTTCTTTGGCCTATTGTTGTTGGTTGGTGCTCTCATCTGTTTGATACTCTTCTTCGTCTTGGTGCGTCATCAGCAGTTCTCCTTGCTGGCCATTTACTTGGCTGATGCTAGTCATTGCATACTTATGGCGTTTGCTATATTGGCGATTATAATTGGCTTTATAAGGTAAGTTAATTTTTTGAAGCATCGGTAGTATTTTTACATATCTTTCGTTACGATTGAGACTTATTATATTTAACAACAAATTATGAGAGCTGTGTAAAAGAATTGTATACATTTCATGGTAATTTAATTATGAGAAAGTTTTCGATATGTGTTAAGTACTTTTACGTATAGAACTAATAAATATATGTATATGCCAAGACTTTAAACCGGAATTTTTCCATTTCGGTTTTTTTCGGTTTTCGGTTCGGTTCCAGTTCAAAGCCCTGGTATATACATATGTAGATAATATATATCATATATATAATATATATGTAAGTAGTCTTTTAAAGTTATTACTTTAAAGAAAATGAAAATATTAAAACGTAGTTAGCTAGCAAATATATATATACATATATTTTTTTAACCTATTTTGTAAAATTCTTATTAAATTTTTACATCAGTCACCGTCATAGGCAGTGACTACTTTCCTTAATATAAACTATTGTATTTAATAGAGAGGTTTCGAAGCATAATGAATTGTAACAACAAAATTTTTATTATTTTCCATATTTCACATTTCCTTATATGGATCTAAATTTAGAGACTAGAAACGAAGATAACATATATGCTTATTTTATTGCACTGGTTAGAATGGCCTTTCCTTTAAAAGTACAAGCAATTTTGAAAGCTCGGAAATTACATCTTAAATATTTTGTATTGAAATACTATATATAATGCACATATATACAGTTCTATAAACAATTATGAGAGTAGTTTTTCCTTTGCACAGAATGCCTTTTAACCTACTATTGAAAAAAAAAGAAATTCCTTTAAAACTTTATATACCTAAAATCGTTTGTTATATATACATATACTATATATATACTATATATATACTAGCTAAAAAACTAAATTTACTTATATACAAAATTAATGTATTTTTAATTCTCAAATCCAAATTGCAGAGTCAAAAACTTGAAATTCCGTTGTGAGGAACAATCGAACTTAAATGACATCTTGTTGCGTATCTCCGCTTTCGGTCTCTTTACCTACTCTGTGTTCAGCGTGATCGCCGGCAGCTTGAAGGCATTCGAGAGTGAGCCCAATCTACTAGTCACTACCACTGGCGGTGTAGCAGTATTCCAAGTTATATTGCAGCTGCTCTTCATTGCCGACGTATCGCGCCGTCGCGTACATTTACCAGAGCATGATCGCAGCAAGCCAGGACGTCAAATCGTCACATTCCTGTTGATATGCAACGTTGCCATGTTCGCTATTTACACGTTTGAAGCTCAAAAAGTATTCGCCAATCCTGTAAGTAGATATGTACGTGAGCGATATATGAAGATATGTTTAATGAAACAGTTTTTTACAAATTTAAATAAAGTCGAAAAGCATAAGTATGATATATATTTTTTTTATAAAATAAACAAACGAACTTTGATGGCTTAAACGACTGTAGTTCAAAGCTCGTATTGGAATTTGTAGTGCATGTAAATTTTGTTGCTTTTGATTCAATTTGTAGTTCTTTCATTATAATTCATGTTATTTGAAACCATCTTAGAAGAAAATCTCATCCATTATTTTTAAAAAAAAAGTTATATATTTGTATATACGAGTATAAACAATTCATATAGTTATAATTTGTTTTTGAAAACTTGATTTAAAACTCTTTGTTTCACTTTCTTCATATCTTCATGTATTGCTTTTCACATTATCTTTTGTATTTTTGTGTATTTCCCATCAAATTTTTATAAAATATTAATTTTGTTCATTTTTTTCTCATTTCTCATTTCTTATCTCTCAAATTGACCATCAAACAAAAGGTTCAACTTGATTTCTACGGCTTTGTGCCATGGTCAATAATACAACGCGTTACACTGCCGCTCTGCATTTTCCACCGATTCCACAGTGCTGTCACACTAGCTGAAATCTGGAAGACAACGTACAAGGCACGTCTGGAGTAAATCTCAACCAATTCGAAACCCTAGATGAAAGAAAGTAAATTAATGATGAAGTAAGAAGTAGGAAGTAGAAAAGAAGTATAAACGTAGAAGAAATCATGTGACAAATACATGACAGTCGACAGCCGCTAAGACGAAATAGAAGAAGGCATATATAAAATCCATAGAAGCACCAAAATCACTCAATTTTGCAGAAAAATTAAATTAATTTAAATTAGTTTAAATAGCGTTTAATGATTAAAAAAAATATGATTAAACAAAAAAGTAAAAAAAAAACAAAAAGTTAAACAGGATTATCAGTCATGTGAAAAAATATAAAGAAAAACAAAAAATTCATCTGAAGCATCCTTAAGGACCATGGTTAGAAATTAAAAACAAAGTTGAAATGCCGAAGAACATTTAAATTAATAAATTACTATAATAAATTATTAAGAATTAAATATTAATATTGAAAGAGCAAAGATAAAAAATTATAATGAAACTTTCTGTATTTATTTAAGTATAATTCTAAGCATTAATTAATATATTAATTAATTAATTGATTAATTGATTAATATTTTTTTAATAGTTAAGTGGAGCAAGTTTTAGACATTATAATTTAGTTTTGTTATTAAAAAAAAATGATATTAATTATATATATTTTGTGTATTATATATTTTTTATTATTTATTACATATTAAATCAAAATTATATTATTTATTAATTTGTTTATTTATATTTTTAAATTTTATATTTATATACTAAAAAACAACTTTTAAAAAGGGCAATTAAAAAAATATAATATTACTTCTAACAAATTTCATAAAAAATATATTATTTATATATAAATATATATAAAAAGATTTTTGCTTCTATTTGTAGTATTGTAAAATGTGAGTTAAATGCAACATTTAATTACTAAGTCATTACTTATAGTAATCATATTTAATAGTTGATTAACAAAATACAAAAATAATAAATTAAAAATTTCCAAAAAATAAAATAGTACTTAAATGCACATATTTTTTTTATTAATTAATTATTGACAGGAATTTAAAAAGATTTAAGGAACTTTTCCCTACAAAAACAAAATTCAAGTATAAGAAATAGAGTTCATCTCAAATCGTAATATTTTCGATATATTATAAATATTCAATATATTTATAAATATGATAAATTGTAACGATAAGTTGCGAATGTAAATATTCTACTCAATTTAAAACCATAAAAACATTCTATTAAATTTAAATAAATAAAAAAAATTGAAATATTTCCCATCTGAGGTAATATAAATTTTTGGCAAGATTTTTGATATATACACGATTTTTGAATATAATGTTCGAACCACAAACAGTGCTAAGTAAAACCATAAGCCCATAATAGCATTACTATCTACAAATGAGATATATATGGTATATTATATAAAGTATTAATATGAAATAATCATTAATCATTCAGTATAAACCAAATTGTTTTCAAAAATAACCCATTAAGAGGACACATTTCTAAAAAGATTGACGCTAGAAATATTAGTAATGGTTTACGCATTGGAACCAATAGGTACTCTTTTGTAATATTAGTGTCAATTTAGGTTTGGATTGAATTATTTGAAATTACATGAAAATTGGTCGATAACATATCTAAGTTCAAAAGGAAACAGTTCTAGAAGAGTTCTTTTTTCTCAAATCAGGGAAAATCAACAGGATATGGCTATAAGAACACTCTTCCGTTAATATTTTTAAGTTCTTATAAAATATAAATATATTCTTCAAATTCATATTTTCTGCTAAAAAAAAATCTCAGAATCGGCAAGGATAAAACTTCATAAATATTACTAAATTGCGAGAATATTGTTTAGTATCTTTCAATATCTAAAAAAGTTACAAATTATTTTCAGAGCGTAATTGCCATAATTTCAAAGCTACATATAAATTACATGAAAAATAAATATATATATATGTTTATATATATAAACTATTAAGAGCTAAAAAATTATAATGTAACTGTTTGATTTTACTGTTGTTATTATTAGAAAGGACAAGTTACACCCCGTCCTTTAAGATTTATTGTGCTTTTTCTGGAGAGAGACTCTTAAGCTAAAGAGATTACTTAAGTTTATTGATGAAACTAATAATTAAGTCCTATGGTGTATCAAACTCGTTCACTAGAAAGTATATCCATTAAAAATCAATTCAAACTGAAATAGTTTTTAAATAGAAACTATATCTTACGATATACCTAGTCTACATTTCATGATGTGAATATCTAACTGCATATTGGAATACTATATCATTCAATTTGAAATTTAGTCCCATTATTTAGTTTTTACACCATTAAGATTTGCATGAGAAATCCTTAATGGATTGCATGTCTTATTATAATAAAAAATTGAAAATAATTAAAGTGAAATATATTGATTAGCATATTATGAGCTATAATGGCTGGCTATAATATTTGAATAATATTCATACAATAAATTTATTAAAATTTATTATATTTTCACTTTAGTATATGTATATCTCATTCAAATATGATATATACATATGCAAATTCTTTGACCTATGAATAAAAGTATGGAGAGTTTCAATTGCTGCTTTAAACAAATAATTAATTATTATTCAATAAAAGCTCTGTTAAATGAAAAGTCCTATAAAAGGACAGCTTCTTTAACTATGAAGTATTGCTAATCGACTATTTCCACTTTTTAAACAGCGAAGAAATATTCTTTGAAACGATATTCTTTTGTCCTTCAAGACAACTGTGTCAATCGTCCATTTAAGGAAGCTTTTATTGAAGCATTCTCTCTTCGAATTAAATTAGTTTTTGTATCCCTAAGCAAATACGATTTTGAAAATAGAGGAAAAATTTTTAAATCCAATTTTTGAATATATTAATATAACATATTACATATATATTATACATCTGTGTTTATTAGTTACAGTAGCATTTCAAATAATAATAAATTTTGCAACAAAGTTTTCATTGGACTCACGTATTCTTCGTAAGTTGGAGTTCTTGAAAAAAAATTCCAAGAAATTCTTGTAAAAAATCTTGAAGATTTTTACTTCTCACTTTGAAGAAGTGAAGTTTTTAGAATAGAAATAGAATAAAATAGAATACCATAAACCCTTTTCATGTCCTCTTCTACAAATCAGCGCAGAGGTTTAGCTCCATTGTTAAGGTATTGTTAAGGGGCAATAATTCTATATAATGTTTCCAACTAGTTAGATTAATCTAACTTATAAAGCTATAAGTTAGATTAATCTAACTTATATTACATAATAATTTTATAATTAATAAATAACTATATTTATATCAAATTCCTAAAAATTTAAATACATAAAAAATGAGTTAATAAAGAGCCCTAATTATTTTTTGTTTATTTTAACTCTGTTAAAAATATTAAAAAATTTTTAAAAATATTAAAAGCTTATTACGATTTAATTTGTAATAAAATTATTACAAATTTTTTAATATAAATTTATTTTATTTAAATTTTTTATTTAAATATTTTTATTTTTTGTAAATTTATTCTTTATATCTTCCGTTTTTATTTTATCATTTGTATTTTTGTTTTTATTTTTCTTATTATTTTTTTTTGTTTTTATATTAACTAATATTTAGAATATTAAAATCAATCCACAATTTTAATTTTTTTGAAAGCATATTAAATGTATTTCACTAATAATTTATAATATAATATTTAGTTCTTATACAAGATATTTTTAAGTAAAAAAATAAATAAAAATTACTTAAGTAAAATAAAAATTTTGAGGTGTAAAAATGTTAAAAATTTTTGAATGTAAATCTAAAAAAAAAAAATTAAATAATAAATAATTAAGAAAAAATAAAATAAATCAACATTAACATTATAAATGAAAATAAATCGTTCAATGATCGTCTTGTTCCCATTTCTCTTTATATAAATGTTAGTTTTTGAAGTAAAAAAATATTTACATATATACATGATAACATAAATATATAAAGTAAATGCATTAGATAAGATACATATAGAATAGTAAATGTATGTACTCAAAATGTGCTCTAAAAGTGTTAAGCCTACATTTATGTACAAATATTGTTACAATTTCAAAATATATTTGCGTATTTGTGGTATTTGGTAGTTTAATATTGAATAGAGAATAAATCTTATTGCTTCTTATTGCTCTTTTTATATTAAAATTAAATCTCAACACACCTCGAATAATTTGAACAACCAACTCATTAACATACATATAAAGATTCAGATTCATAAGAACGAGGATAAAGGATAGATTTTTTTCTTTTTAGGAACTTTAGTTGCATTTACGCAAAGAACTGAGATAAAAATATATTAGAAATGGTGTGAAGAAGTGATTATAATGCAGTAATTATATATTTGAAGAGGATTGGGAACAAGGATATGGAAATATAAATCTAAAGGGCAAAAAAAGATTTGTTGGTAGTAAGAACAGTATTTTTAGCCACTGTTCTTAATGGAAACATTGAATTTAACACATTTTTGTTGTTGAAAGTATATAAATTAAGGTTCTGATAGATTTCTATATAGTCTATATAAAAAATCTTATCTCTTTGTTATATATGTTACTGTACTACAGTAGTTAAAGAAATCTCAACTATTATCAACACATTTTTGTTGTTGAAAGTACATAAAATAAGGTTCTGATAGATTTCTATATAGTCAACTGCTGAATATTGCAGAATAAATAATCTTATCTCTTTGTTATATATGTTACTGTACTACAGTAGTTAAAGAAACTTCAACTATTGTTTATATAAAAAAGAGTCATAACCCAGTAATAAATCAAACACCTTAATAACGTTATTATTTACAATGTAGAATCAAGATACCACATCAGTCTTTCTGCAGATATCGCATCTTTTTTTTTACTTTCTTTGAAAGTAGACGCTTTGTTCTCTCTATGCTTGAAGCACATTAAATGCGCATTAATCCAGCGATTTAAGTACATATTACAAGGTATAGTTAGTGGTATTCTAAGCAATTAGATTACCAATGTATGACAAAAAAGTACTTGTGAGAATGGAGCGCTTGGTATTTTCAATAGTTAGAGCCCCTAAACTCTATAACGAAACAGTTTAGCAAGACAAACGATATGCTTTATTAGTCTCCTAGCGCATCAAATACATTTGCTAGGAATAGATGAGTTCTCACCCATAACGTAAGAATTGATTATAATTGCATATAGTCAATGTCAATAATTTATTTCAAGAATATTATCTTGACTCTGTATATAATTCATATTCAAGACGAACAATTCATGGGTTGGCAGATATGTGAGATCGTCGACTTCGATAACTTGGAAAGTGACATTAATGGGGTCTAACCATATAAATGAACAACAACTCCTACGAATTTTTTTCTAGAATGTGTATTTGTCTAACCTTAATTGCTTTCCCTATCGACATTTGATTTTTAAGTGATGATTTTCTTTTAAGCATTAGGAAAGTGTGGTTTAAGGCATGAGTAAAATCGTAGATACTGCCACTTTGATATTGTTTCGGTCAAAAGCCGGTTTAATAATTGAAGAGATTTTTCTCTGTAATAAAATAAATTTATTCCGCTTACCTAAGCATTGAACATTAGTGTTTTGAAAACACCCTTGTTTACTGTTACCCCTGGATTTTTGATTTGAAGTAATTTTTTGCTATTCTGAAATATGTATAATCGGCTTAATCAAGCATTAAAGATTAATATTTTGATAATACCCTTGAGTAGGTGTATGAGATTTTTAAATCGAAGTGATCTTTCTCTTGTATGAAAAATATATATTTCCTTTAATCAATTGTAGATTGATTCAAGAAGGTTTTTTAGGGTATGAGATGTTTAACTTCTAACTAATGCTTTTATGTCCCTACCAATAGCTGGTTTATTATTAAAGCATTAAAGATATTATATTCAACTTTGTCACTTCGATGTTATTCCTACTGAGAGTCGATGAATTGAAGAGCTTTTTTCTATAATGATATATGAATATTTCGTGAGACCAGGCAATAAAAATTAATGTGATTATTTTCACGTTATGCTGCAGAAGATCAATTTCTACGTCGATTGGTGATTTTCTGCTAACATGGTTAGTTAGCAAAAAGATATCAATATGAGAGTAACATCATTATATTAGCAAGTTATGTTAGAGATATGATTTATATACTCATTCTTCGATAGCTACCTGTAAGCATTCTAACTATAAACATTATTAGCATATAATTCTTCCTCTTATTATATCAGACTTATCATAATGCAACTGAAGTTTTTTTACTACATAAACCTATAGTCCTCGATTTCAATTTAAAACATCACATTGGCAAAAAGAAATTGAAGAAAAATTAAATAAAAATATATTAAAAATGCAATATGAAACATCAACAACAAGAAACTGTGATGAATTGACATTTTTTATTAAATTAATAATTTGTTTGCTTTTGGAAAATAAAAAACAAAAAAAAACACGAAACAACAATACAAACAAAAAATTTGGTTATATATAAAAAATGTTAAAAAAA